AAGTGTCTTTACATAATAAAACTTGATACCCCAACCCCACCCGAATAGGTTATTATCAACATTTTTATCGATCAATTAATAACTTATCAATATACAGACAAACCACTCATCCACGCCCCCCCCCAATCAACGGACTTCGGATGCAACGGACAAAATTTACAAACAAAATAAAAAAAAAACAAAAAAAAAAAACTTCCAAATCGTTAGCGATGTATTTCAAAATCTGCGGGCTAAGTGGAACAAGTCGTATTAGTTTTCAAATTGACCGCTTGGCGGTAGTGGCTGGCCTTTCAATTGTAAACAAAGACGGGTGTACAGTATATAAAATACGATAGCCTGTGCATGAGAAAATAACTGTGAAAAATCTATTATTTTTGTTATTTTGATTAATATATCTATATTAAGTGTATATTTATTTATGCCATACATATACATGTTTATAGTATTTACATTATGATCATAACTACTGGTAGTTACTATAGTGGTTTTATTACTCAAAAATAATCCCTTCACATCATATTCGACTTTAATGGGCCACCCCTCCCTCCATTAGTCCGTTGACGAGAGGTTTGTCTGTAATATTATTATATAACATTTTTTAATCATTACATCCTAAGCAAGATAAGTCTACTAAGCCGCGATAGTGTTATTGAGAGGAAAAGAGACTAAGAAAAAACATTATTAAAGAGAGAGGACAATAAAAGGAACACGAATTAACAAGATAGATGATGACGATTGACATTGAATTTAAATTTCTGAAAATCAAAGTTAAATGCAAACCAAGAAGGCGAAAGAGAATATTTACAAACGAGAAATCTGATAGAAGAAACTATTAGCATAGAACTTACGGTTACATCTAGCCATTTCAACTGTAAAATGATGAGACCTACCTGCCAATCTAGTCTTCTTCTTCTGTTTCCCGTGTCCCTTCAGGACGTGGGTGATCATGGCTTACCACAACCTTTTGTCTATTGCAGCAGTTTTTGTCATTTTGTTATCTCTCCTAATCCCTGCCCTGAAAAACATTTGCACAAACTCGTTAAGTAGGTATTTCCTCTGTACCCCCTGCCTTTAACATGTTCTGTGAGTATTAAATTTTCCAAGCCCTCTTTCCTCATCATGTGCTCTAGAAATTTCAGTTGTCGCTTTCTGATTCTACGTATAAATGTCTTTCTAGATTCTTTAAAATGCCGTTATTCATAAAGTCGAGGTGGCGAAGTGGAAAGCTCATCAGAACAATTACTATAAAAATATTATATATATATATATATATATATATATATATATATATATATATATATATAAGAGATATAGGGGAAGTTGTGGTGGGACAGTAACTGAAGTTGTCACTCTTATTATATTGTAATCTGACAGTATATTTATTAAGTAAATATACGTGTATTTTGATATTTTTACCAACCTCGGTTTGTTATTACTAATTCAATTGTGAAAACATTGACTTGAAAAGTAAAATCTGACATAACGGGTTTTAAGAGTTCGATATTTGCTGTCTATCATTTGTGCCTTTTGAGATAGACATCTTTAAATCAATAATTCATATTGCCAGAAGACGACAGGAGGCCCGCCTCAACATTTTTGCTTTCGTTAAGAAAGAAAGGATTCAGTACAAAATAGCGACAATAACTGAATTTGAAGAATTTCTTACTTAAAGACGCAATTTCGTCATTATGTCTTTCCATTTTACTTTCTTTTCTTCTGTATATTCTAGGAATTTTCATCTTGAATTATTTAGTAATATTCGTCGAATTTTTCATGTTTTGCCTTATCGAAGACTTTTTATCACTGAACCCAACATCCATGTCTGAATTATTAATATTATTATTCTACCAGAATGAGGAGGTAGTCATACACAAATACATATATATATATATATATATATATATATATATATATATAAGTGAACATTGAAGTCAACACTTAGAAGCGACAGGCTGTTTCATGCTAGACGCAATCGTCAGGCCACGTATGTTTTTTTCCTCGACTATTTATATATACGGGTCAGTGGTGCATTGTGTGTAGTCTATTTTGGCGGTTATTTTGCCGAAAGTTGTTTATTTATTTGGGTTAATTTATTTTGCTTTTATTTCATATCTTATATAATTATTTATTTATTTTTATTTTAATCGGTGTTTTATTAACGTAGTAAAAAATTGTTTATATCGCTTATTTAATAGTTTTGTTTTGTTTTGGGAAGATAATTAAAGCTATTTAATCACTTTTGGGGTTGATTGCTGTAGTTTATTCTAAATATTATTTTGGCGGAAGCAGTTTTTAATTTGTTTATTATTTCACTTATTTATTTGGTTTGATTATCTTTTGCACAGCCTATCGCTTCTAAATATTGTCTTCAATGTTCACTTTTATATTTACACACGCTCTATCTCTGATATTGAGCATTTTATCCCATAAATATTGCACACCTTAAGACTATATTTCTTATATATATATATATATATATATATATATATATATATATATTATTTTTAAATAAAAAGAAAGAACAGTAAGATATATAATCGCTTGAAGATGAAATGGAACTAATGTCTTTAATTTAATTGCAAAACTAAATTCGTGGGTTTTAGCTTCCATTTTTGAAACATGGTTAGAACTGTGTAGGGAAAAAACATATTTTAAATCAATTAATTTATAATATATATATATATATATATATATATATATATATATATATATATATATATATATATGTATGTATGTAGGTAGGTATATCATAATGAGTCAGGTACTACCTACCTAGGTTTCATCACATTGAATCATCAGAGTGAACCTCGGTAGGTAGCATATAATAGATATATATTATTATATATAATAATATATCTTTATATTGTCCTTAAAATTGTTATTCCAAGTGTCGGCTCTGTTTTCCAGGTCTTGTTGGAAAACCATCTTTCAAGTGAGGTTACACCTTTTTTCGTATTTTTTTCTTACAACTCGTATCCTTCATTAAGATGGGAAAATTATTTGTTTTTATTTAATGTATATATATATTGTGATTCACTTGAGTCTACATGGAGTGGTTTCTGCTTGTCTTCTCCACAGTTTTGAACTCAGAATTGTCTTTCTCTGACATGGATTCTTCAGGGAGACCAGTTTACCCTATTATTGTATAGTTTTTCAAATTCCTATCGATTCTGTTTCATTCATTAATGCTCTTGGAAAAGGCATAAGTCGATTTTGCTCCAACTGTAGGTTAATTAACACAGCTGACAGGGATCTCGTTGGCCAGTCTAAAAGGATAATTCTGAATTCAAATGAAGATAATTTTTGGGAGAATAGAAGACTAAAGAGTAAACTTAACACAAATTCGGGGTGAAGCCCTTAAGGCGATTGGATCGCATATTAATTTCCTTTCTGGTTTAGCCTTTCTTCTAAAATCTGTACGTATACGTAGAGATGTGTCATGGATAGCGTCTCGAAATGTGAAACCAGAGATTCGAGTTCGAACTCCAGTTGAGTTTGTTACGCACAAATACTCCTGGAAAAGGTGCCAATCCAACTTTTCTCTCTAATTATGGATTAAATAGTACAACAGACTGGGTTCTTCAGTCTTGGTTGTCAGCTAGTCTAGGAGAACAACACTGAATTCAAAACGTATGTAGCCCTAGTGAACATACTATTCTGCTAAAGAAAGAATCGTGGAGTTCACTATGATCCTGACTACTGTCCTCTTCTTTAGTAAACGCTAGATGTCCCGTTTCACTCTGCGCTACACAATCGTTTCTCGAGACGGGTGGATGAGAACAAAACGGTGGGGATGAGAGATAGTCACGTTCCTTTCAAATACTTTAGATCTCTGCCTTCAGATTCCATTTTTCTTGTCGATAACCGTTACACATACCCCACTGTCTTCGGCAGCTCTTCTACATTGTCTTGAGGGTTTATCGGCAAAAAACGTTGTCAGTGCGACTCGTTAGGCTTCTAGATGGCTCAAAGTTTGAAATCAGAAAAAGTTTGCAAGTACAGAATATAAAACATTTAGCAGTGTACGAAAACAAGATCGTGCAATATAGGATTGATCGAAGTGTGCACATATTAATACGAGATGCAATATTATTTCTTTCATGGCCCTATACTCATCCTAACTCAGATACCGTTCCTTGTACGACTCTTTAAGACGGAGATAAATGATTTTCAAACCCCCTTTTTTGTCTATGCCTCTCTTTTCACCATATTACAAAATGAATTACAGAATGAAACCTTACAAATTCGTCGGTGTGATTCTAAAAGTGGGTAAGTTGAGATATGTCATTTTGCATATTTTTTTCTATTTTTAGAATGATCAAGCTGATCTCCAGAATAATATCAAAGACAATATTCTGATATAATGATTTCTTGTGAAGTTAGGTTACAATTGAAAAAAAAATAGTATTATGCATGTTTATTCTGAAATTTGTTTAGTTTTAATATAGGTGTTTTTTTTCTCTTAATTTTGGAAATAAAATGCAGAAAATAAACTATTAGAATAGAACATTACTGAAATGATTAAAACAGAACGTACGGTTATATCTAGCAATTTCAACAGTAAAATGGGACCAAGTTGCCCATCCAGTACTGAACTTAAATTCATGAAGTCGAAGAACCAAAGAGGAAAGCTCATCAGAAGAATTGCCATGAAAATATTGGAAAATAGAAAAGCGACGTGATAGCAGTGGGAAAGTGACTTTTAAAACCGAGATGCCAGGTTCGGACTGGTGTCATTGCCGATTATTCACTGGATTTTGTCAAGAATCTGTAAATACATAACAAAATCAAACCAGATGTGGCAATAATATTCAATGCACAGACAAATGGTAGGCGTATAAAAGTGCAAGATTTGCTGCCACTCATTCAGGCACATCACTGAAATAAGCATTTTGTACAAATCGCCCATTGATAAGTATTACCGTATTTGATGACGTGTAAGATTCTTCAATTTCTTTTTTCAAATAAAGCTAAAAATGACATCATTATACCTCTTGGGCTTACGGTCACATCTTGTTGAAACACTGGTTCTCGTATGAACACCGAACTTAAGCAACGTCGAACCTGGTCATTACCTAGATGGGTGACCGCTTTGAAATACCAGGTGCTGTAAGCTAGGATGTTCGAGTGGTGTAATAGACAACGGCTTGGAAGTGGAAATCGGAGAGCCGAGTTCTAATTCCAATTCCAGTCGGATTCGTTATATTCACTTATTATTAGTAGAACCTATATCAGTAAGTCATTATCGCCAAAAGATTCTCAAAATCTTACTGCTTACAGCTGCATAAAGTTTTAACACAGGTTCTTGTACGATTACCGGATTTAAGCAATATTGAAACTTGTCATTAACTAGATGGGTGACTGCTTGGGAATACTGAGTGTTGTTAGCTTAGAGGTGCGGGTGGTGTAATGAATAATTGCTGGGAATTAAAGTTCCAATTCCCGTTGGTCTCGTTATATTCCCTTCCACGCAAATAGCCTTGTGAAAGGTATGAATCCATCTCTTCTCCCCCGGCTCTGGGTTAATTAGTGACACTAAACTATTATTATCTCAAAAGAAATTTATTACAATCTAGAAATATTTTCTGGCTTGAAATAACATTTAAAAGGGTTGATAAACCGTAAAAAACAAATCAAGTGTGTTCGTTATAGAAGAAAATGTTTTTGATTGCATACACAGGTGAAATATGCTTTGCTTGTAATACAGGTTATTTCTTGCAATGAGTGATTACTAATTATCACATTCATATATATCACGAACCTCATTCCATGACCCTCTACCTTGAGTGGCACTTGATTCTTGTATTGGGTGAACATTAGCCAAGTACCAAATTAGTTATAGAATTGCATGGGCGTGTAGTGTATACTTCTGTCATACCTCCAAATTTCAGTTTCAGAAGTTTTCGACATGTCTACAAATGGCTCACGGCGCCGAGAAAAGGTTATTTCAAGCCAGAGAATATTTTAGAGAGTTACTGAATGAGGTATCAGTCATGTATGTGCCATGCGTTGATAGGCGATCATGTATCTTTTGATACATGACTGACGAGACATTTTTTCCCGCAGTAGGTTCCCATTTCTTTCGGTGGTATAGAAGCCAGTCTGCCCTGCTATTTACCCACAGGAGAAGTGGGGGAGAAGAGGATTCATACCATTCCCAAGGGTATTAGCTAGTAAGTGAATGTAATGGATTTGACTGGAATTCGAACTCGGTTCTCCGATTCCTCAATCCGAGCCGCTATCCATTACTCCACCGTGCCTCGTATGGAATGAGGTATATGTCATATACATGTAAGAGTAGGAATTGAGGATTCTGTGGATATGATGGATAAGTAAAGATTGAATCTTATCTTGAAGATTGTAGCTTTCGGGGAAGCATCCAAGTCTATTCCGCAAAGCAGTTACTTTTTTTTGAGTTATCTGAGTGGAACTTCCTCCTTACAAGTGGAATACAAGGTGAGTGAAGCTAGATTGACTCCATGTATACAACATGGCGGTTTTTAGCTATAAAAGTTCGAATTATTGGAAGTAAGGAATAGAGTTTAGTGGAATATTTGCCATGGAAATAATAGAGTAGCAACAGACTGAAACGTTGCGTCTGTGGGAAAGGCGACTGTTGCGTGAAAAATGGATCCCCTACCGCACAAGGCCGCTGAAAAATGAGGATAGAACAACTGAAGTTCTAATATTAGAGTAATATCGTATATACTCGTGTATAAGCTGACTTCATGCATAATATGACACCTGAACCCCGCCACCCAAATAACTCTGTATAGTGCAAAGTCTGATCAGTTCGATAAGGTCAAATTGGCGGCTGATGTCAAAAACGATTTACAGTTTTCTGTTAATTAGTGTAAAGAATGGCTTGTTAATTTTAACGCCTCCAAAACAAAACTGTGCTCTATTAATCATCTCAGAGGCGCCATTCTGTCCTCAATCAGCATGGCTGATGTTGACTTCCAGAAGAGTGACTAATTACGCCTTCTCGGGCTAACATTCGCTGCCGATATCAAGTTGAAAGACTATATTGAATCCATTGTTAGGTCAGCTGTTAAGAAAGTTGATTCACTATGTCGTAATAAACAATTTTTCTCTCAAGAATCTATCCTACATGTCTATAAGCCTACCTTTCGTCCATGCATAGAATATTGCTGCCACATATAGCCTGGTGTTCCTGCTATATATAGAGAGATTCTTTATAAAATTCAAAGAATAAGCTATATTACTGGTCCTGACATAGCGTCTCAGCGTCAGTCACTCTCCCACCGCCATAAAGTGCCTTTTCTATAAATATTTTCATGCTGACCGTAAGTTTTATGCTAATAGATTCTTTTCTCGCACTTTTCGCTTGTAGAACTTTCTCCCGTCTCCATGCTTTTCAGCCAGCTTTACATTTAAATTTTTGAAGATCAATGTCATTCGTTATCTACTGTCTTCTTGATTTCTGCTGTCTTGCTCCTTGTAACCTTGTTTCACACCCTGTAACTTCTTGTGTCATAGTGGTTTTACTGCCTTGCTTGGGGTAAATCCGATTAAAAAACGGTCATCGAAAATATATGATTTTTTATCCTCCTCAAAATAAATTACCTGTGTATGGTTCGACTCCATATTTATGCTAAACGCACTATATTCGAGTATATATTCTACTCCGTTTTTGGTCTAACCTGACTCTCATGTAGATAAAACATGACAGAAAGAATCAAGTATTTTCTAGAGCCATATAGTGAGCAGAGTATTTTGATTGCATCTTCGGCAACGGATCATAAAGGAGGTCTAATCCAAAAATATCATGGTAACGGAGTTAACGTACGCAGAGTGGAGCTGCATCGACATCGAACTCTGTTATAACGTTCTCACTTATTTTCGTTGTTTATAGCAGTGCTTGGAAGGAAAGTGTGTAGAGTGTGGTCGTCTCATCACACCGCAGATGTTCTATCAGTGACCATTGGCTTATGCAGTAAATTTTGGCCAAGCACAACATTCCCCAGCTCCGACAACCACCATATTCCCTCGATCTCACCCTTGTGACTTTTTCCTTTTCAAAAATTAAATCCCGATTGAAAGGAACAAGACGTTGATGAAATCCAATAGAATGCAACAAAGCAACTGGTCGCTATCCCAAAAAAAGAGTTTCAGGAATACTTCCATCGATGGAAACGACGGTGGATAAAGTGTCTTGCTTCAGAAAGAGGCGACTTTGAAGGAGATTAAATACCGAATTGATACGTGTTGTAGATTTTTTTTATAGCCCTCGTGTCAATACTTGTTGATCGGACCTCGTGTATGAATTTTTACTTAAGGTTTGGAGTAAACTCAAATCCCAGCAGATGTTCAAAACCGAGAGCAATTGTTTATTGCGCCTGAAGAAAACTTCGAGTCTGATATAATTTATTTAATTTTCTTAACTTAGTCAATACCTGCTTGGTACATTTGAATAACTTTTCAGATCAGCTTTAGAATAGGAACTGATTGCATGATTGCCAGGAGTTATGGCTAGCGAACAACTCATGCTGGCCATTATTCCGAAGTAGTAAGTTCGATCTTTACTGTCTCATCAATACGCCTGGCTTTTGCCAAAGTTCAGCTACGCTTAATATATAAAGACAGCAAGTCGCGGTGTAATGTCTAACAAGCTAGTTTGATTGACCGTTACCACTGAGAAAAAAATTAGTTCGATCTTTATTGAGAGACTCATGTTTTTAGCTTTCTACCAAACTATGTGTCGTCAAGAGAAACTTTATAACTTTATAATGTGCTTGTGTTTATTCGTTCTGTCAGAAAATGATGGAAATATTTCAGTTTGTTATTTCATAAGTACAATATAACTACAAGATTACAACGTATTTGTCTGGGTGTAAAACTATTTAAGACAAATAAATTGTGTTTTTATTTGTCATGTTCAAAATAGCAGACAATTCTATTTCCACGATGTCATTAGTGGATTTTTTTCTGGAGTCGAAAAAAGTAAAATACATCTCTCTCTCTCTACATTATATATATGGTTATTAAAAAAGAAAGAGCAGATTTCGAAAATTTAATAAAAACAAATGCTAAAAGACAGAAGAAACACAATCAACACATCACTAAATGTGCTGACCGAGTTTGGAAAAAAAACATTCCCATCACTATAGATACACATATGTAAAAATCTACATATTCAGTTAAACTTTTTTAAAATCCTTCATAATGGCTAATAGAATAGCCGAAAGCCCTCGTAAATATAAAATATTTGGGCCATTTTTAATACTCTTTATATCAAGAAAAGAAATCACTTATACGAACGCAAAAACATTTTATAAAAACGTAAACGTAGTAGCCTGTCAGTCGTCTTTAATGCAACTTATATAAAAGAAGGATTACTACCCAAATACACGATTATATATATATATATATATATATATATATATATATATATATATATATGTGCATATATATATATATATATATATATATATATACAGGTAAAATGAGAACAAATTGAGTATCATGTTAACATCTTATATGGATACTCTTTATTTGATGGTTGCATATTAATTTGTCAAAGTAGTTCTGTATTTTTGATCCGATTTTTTCTTAACGATCAAGTTGATTGCCAGTTTCATAAAGGGGCCTTTTATTTATCAACTACATTTGTTTTTGTCAGAAGCTGAACGGGGATATAACTGACAAGCATTATGTTAAATTACCTTCCCATCACTTTCACTTTTGCTTCTTGGGAAGTTTGAGCGTCAGACTTGGATACATCATAAGAAATAATGTAATAATCTGTATCTGCCCATAAGGAAATTGTTTAGCTTTATATGCAGACAACTTCGTGTCATGACCCATATTAAAAACAATTTTTCCGGTGAATTTAAATTTAGCGTTGGTCACATTCGATTGGTTAATCACGGCAAAGCTCACAAGTCTAATTTTTAAAGAGTTTTCTGCTATTTGAAATTAAATTAACCTTTCACTCGACAGTAGTTATTTAACATTGCCTGAAGAGACACATTTATGGTGACGAAACGTAATTGTAATTGTGTAGCGACTTTAAACATGTTTAATACCCTTAAATATCGTTAAATCGAATTGAGTTCTCTCAGTCACTGCGTGTTTATCTAAAAATAAATAC